TTTTATTGTTAGTTTAACAAATTGAGATATTATTTGACAATTTTTCTTTGGCTCATATTGAAATGCATATTTCAACCCCACGATCTTATGTTTATTTATTTATTTATTTTTCTTAAACTCATTCTAGGAAAAAGGAATTTTTTTATTTTTATTTTTATTTTTTTTGTATTAATACATTATTGTGATTGTGATGGGCTGTAAATATGGTCCTTCCTTTCATACTATTAATTAATTCTACCCTGCCCTTAAGGGTAGGCATTCAAACTCCTACAACTCTTGATTTCATAGTGTGTGGGGACACATGATAAAATGCTTATGGTGAGTCGTCATTGCGTCTGCCACGTTTGTTTAATTTTTGGTTGATTCGAAATTATGGACGTAAACGAGCCAAATCGATGTGAGGGTTTGTTTATTTTTTTTGGGATTGACCCAAAAGTCGAACCGAGTTTGAACTATTAATACTTGAACTCAAGCGTGAATCTTTTTAATGAAATGAGCTGATAAATTAGTTCAAGTTTAATATGTTTATCAATATTAGTGTTGAACTCAAGCTTGAATCTTTTTAATTAAATGAGTTGATAAACGAGTTCAAGTTCGATATGTATATTAATATTAGTGGAGATTTGTTCAGAAAACAATTATATTTTAAATTTGACGAGTCGTGACGCGCCGTCAAATTTTTGCGCGAAAGACATTAATAGGAGGAAAAAAAAGAGATTAAAGAAGCCCAAGAGGACATTAAGGCCTCGTTTACACGTCAGCTTGTGTCCAGTGTTTACAAAACATGATGCATTTTAAGGCAAATACTATTAAGCGTTTACTAATATTTTTTTTTTTCTTTTCAAACGACAGACTATCATAAATAGAACACAAAGCGTAATTACAATCGGATACAACCGGTAACAGCCGAAAATAGCAGCTACACAATTGAAATCCTTAGGAGGACTTTAATAACCTACATAAAATGAAATGATAAAAAGCAAAATATGAAGCAGCAACAAAATATATTTATGTGGCATAAATCGGTAATTTGGTGGACTTATATGGGTTAAAGTGACATTTCACATGACAATTTTTGGGTAAAATGGTCATTTCTAAGGCGTGATTAAAATGACCCACCCTCAAGATCGGATAAAATAATTCTTCCATTCGTGCATAAAAGTGTGGAACCCACATAACATATTAGCTTATTATATGATCCATCATGTCCTGTTATCCAACCATTCCTATCATATTAGCGTAAACAAGGCATAACTATCAAGCCTACTTTCATCAACTGTTGTTGGGCCAATAAGCCTACTTTCATTAACTGTTGTTGGGCCAATTTGGCCCAATAGGTATGAAAGACGCGCAGGCATGAGGACACGTTTTGGGGCAATTAATTGACTGAAGATATTGATTTT